TATAGGTTATCACGCGAGTGTGTTTTGGGATGGTTAATATCCTGCATTAGGAATAAGCATTGTATTTAGCGACCTAATGAGGCATTTTTCTCATCTCTTGATATGTTGGATGAATTGCACGAAGCATATTCAGTATTCGGTGAGGTGATTATTGTCGGTGATATGAACGCTAAAATTGCGGGACCTCGTTGCGTGTTCAAAACGGATGTGCGGTCACGTCGCATGCATCAGACTCTGATGAAGTCAGGTTTAACTGCAGTGAATGTTCTATCATCATGTTATGGTCCTAACTGGACTTTTCAGTCACATGAAAATGGTCCAACGACCATGATCGACCATACTCTTGTACCAAAACCACTACTCAGTGATGTTCAGTGGTGCTGTGTGCTGGATGATCACAGTTACAACGTCTCTGATCACCATCCTGTTATTGCATCGGTTAGTTTACACTTATACGGAAGCATAGATATCACACAAGTTCAGAAGACTGCTTTTGCCTGGGATAAAGCGAGAAACACAGATAAGATAGTTGACTATACATTTGCTGTGTCACAGGCGCTCTGGACTCTAACACCTCTCAGTGCTGATGCAAGCCCAGCAGAGATTGATCTATATTACAATTTTTATTGTGGATAGTTTACTGCAGGCTGCAAGGGACACGTTGACAGTGAAAAGGTATAACAGAAACCTGAAACCATTTTGGAGTAACATTGTCAATCAGTACCATAACACGATGAATAAGAAGAGACTATCATGGATTAATGCTGGTAGGCCACGGGGTATGCATCACAGTACATATGTTGAGTACAAAGAAGCAAAAGCTGAGTTTAGGAGGTCACTTCGTGAAGCCTCGGATAAATTTGTCTCAGAATGGTTCAAAGACATTGAAGATATGGCTCATGTTGATCATCGTCGGTTCTGGTATATGGTAAACAGGATGCAGAAGGGACATGAAGCGTCCTTGGCACCTATAACATATAATGGTGTTACTCACAGCACTCCCGATGCTGTGGTGGAAGCTTGGGCGGCTCACTTCAGTGCTGTGTATCAAGATACTGGGAAGGAACATTTCAATAGGGCATTTCAAGAGCATGTCAACCAAACAGTAGACACCATCAGGAAGAGTTGTTTAACAGAGAGTGGTGAATGTATTTCATTTAGTGCAGTAGACATAGAAGCACTGTGTTCGCAACTCCCCAGCCAGAAGGCTGGAGGACATGATGGTTTGGTTTATGAACACTTGCGACACGGTGGAAAATGTTTGATGTTTCATCTGTCATGTCTGTTTGGTGCTATTGTGAACACAGGAAGTATTCCGAGAGACAGTGTGTATCCGTCATGGTCCCCATATTCAAAGGGGGTAACAAATCGAGAAAGGATCCGAACTCCTACAGGCGTATATCGCTCAGCCCTGTCATTGGAAAGGTATTTGAAATGGAACTGATACAACACTTACAACCGTTGAAGTCTACGGCAACATTTCCCAGTAAACAGCAGATGGCGTATCAAACAGGCTTGTCAGCTCTAGAAGCTTCATTTAATCTGCAAGAGACTATATATCATTACCATGAAAGGAAACAAGATATACACGTTGCTTTCTTGGATACAATGAAGGCATTCGATACTGTCTGGCATAACGGTCTCAGATACAAACTGTATGAAGCAGGGTTTCATGGACAGCTGTGGACTATTATTGACAGGATGTACACAAGTATGAAATCATATGTACAACTTGGGCAACGTAAATCTAGAGTGTTTGAGCTTCTACAAGGAGTTCGCCAAGGCGGAGTCCTTTCAGCTAAGCTGTATTTGTTATATATTGATGGACTGCTGAAGAAACTCTCTCATACCAAGAAAGGTGCAATGTTGTTAGATCTGAATATGTGCTCACCTACTCAAGCAGATGACATTGCGGTCGTTAGCTCAAATGTGCATGCTCTGGACAGCCTTGTGCAGACGTGTGAGGAGTACAGTAATGACTGGCGATTCACTCTGTCTCCCAGCAAGAGTGAGATCATGACGTTTCCCGTCCGGAAATCACACTATACAGTGAACCTGTGCTCCAGACTGATATCATCAGACATGTAGGCATAGTGCTCACACAGAGAATGTCATCATCAGACATGTAGGCATAGTGCTCACACAGAAAATGTCATCCATCGAGCATGTGCTGCAGGTTTGTAACACACTCAGAGCAAACACACACGTGTTGTTGCGGAAAGGATTCCACTCAAAGTTAATGAACCCGATGACAGCCAGCAAGTTACTTGCAGCATCTGTGCTACCAAAGGCACTCTATGGATGTGAGCTTTGGACTGGTCTCACCAAACATGAGATAACCATGCTGGAACGAGCATACCGTTATGCAGTAAAGAAAATACAAAATCTGCCAGCAAGATCCAGGACAGATATCTGTCTTGGTCTCCTAGGGCTTTGTCCTGTTGAGACTGTGATAGATACTCGAAAGCTGTTATATATAGGCAGACTCATCAATATGAAGAGACACTATTTGCCTCACCAGGTGTTTCTTACCAGACCTCTGTGCTTCAGACCTGAACTTGAGAAGTCAACGGGTTTTATTCCCGACATTGTGAGAATTCTTCATAAATACGGTTTGTATCAGCACCTAGAGTCTTATGTACAAACGGGACAGTTCATAAAGCAGACTGCGTGGAAGAAAATTGTGAAAAGATATGTAATGAACTTCGAAGTGACGTCATACAGACAGAGATCGGTGGATTCAGGGTTTCGTTGTTCAAAACAACCTTAGCTAAGGTCAACCTTAAACACTAAGGTTAAAGTTACGATCACCCTAACAAAAAGTTACGCCTGTTGCACAAAACAACCTTAGGGCAACCTTAAGTCGGACTCGAACCTTAGCCGTAACCTTAACTAAGGCTGAACTCTTCAGCGCTGGAGTTACGGAAGCGTCCCTAGTTACCACGTGAATTATCTCCCCTGCTCGCACCTGCAGACGACCAACAATAATGTCAGTGTGTCAGCGGAAGCGCAATCGGCATTCACACTTTTCTCCTTCCGAGATAAGTTTGATAGCTGACGAGGTGAAGGCGCAACAGAGTGTGTTGTTCGGGCCGTTTTCCTCAACAGTAGACGGCCAAAATACGGGAATGGGATGAAATCGCAACCAAGTAAGTGTTACTTCCGGGTTGTATCACAAAACGTTTTCAACATCGATTGAAAGTAAATATTTATAAAATGTGTAGTGACTAGTCTGGAACATGAGCGACAACGAACCTATAGAACCCTTATATTATCAGGGTTCATATACTTGAAAAACCATCAAAATCCATGACTTTTCCGTGATTTCTGCAGGATGTTTCGCAACTTTTCCATCACAAGACAAACAGCGACCCAGTGCATTTATAAATTGTTAAACGTGAAATTTGTGCCCACCATGTGTCAAGTTTTTATATTCCAAAACTTTTCCAGGTTTCCATGACCTGTACGAACCCTGTATAATATAAGTGAATATCAATCATATAAACACAGAGATTTACATTTATATATTTTTTACTTATTTTAAGACTAAACGCCTGTTCGTCCGTCCAGAGATCTGGAGCCCAGATACGGAAGAAATGGAACGATTACAAGTGAGTAATTACCTGATTTTCTTTATATCAATAGCCAATTCAAAGCTGTGTTTAATATATGTGTGTTTGGTGTCCTCCCATTTGTGAGAACTCCCAGTTGTGAGACACATTAATTAATGGTTCAGTGCACATAGGTGGTGTTTCCACATCCCTACAATGAAAGTGGGATCAGCCCAGCCCAGTACCCACAGGAGGCATAGTTCATTGATGAGTTGATTAATGAAATAGATTATCAAAGATTATATTTACACAGAAGAAATAGTTCATTGAATATTTTATTTATTCAGAAGAATATGTAATTATGATAACACATTTTTATTGACTATTATGAAGTTTGAAAGTCATTTTGGTTTAAACATATTTTATTAATATTTATGAAAATGAATTGGGATTGGTGAAGTATTACTGCTTACGTTAACACCGCTCCCATGCAACATAAAATATAAAATGAAATGGAGGATCTAACGTCATCGATATTGACTATTGCATAAATATATTTTAAGTACATATAAATATATACAGATTACATCAAATACAACTATTCTCTAAGTAGTCATAATTAGAGACTTACAGTTGTGTCTGTCTAACAAGCTATTGTAGGAATATAAATCAATCACGAGAAGGTTGTTGAGTTAATTTCAGTATTTCCCTGTGAAAATTGGAAGGTTGTGATGATATAATCGTGGACGGATTCAACTATTTGCTGGTTTACACAAGGAGTAAATTCTTTGTTTCCGTTCAAAAAATTATCCAGGTTATAACAGGTAGTTGATATCCACAAGAGCAACATGCACTGTTTATTAAATGTCTGTTATACGTATCGGCGTTTGGGTCGCTAGATCCGAGCCTGAGGCAGCAATGAACGATTTGACAAGAACAAGAGCCATAATTAAGATCAATATAAATCTTGTTTTTGGTTTTTGTAATTAGGTTTTTAAATTCTTTGAGACTGCATGACTCTTTGGAATTTGGTAGGGCATTCCATAAATTTATTGTGTCGGGTAGAAAGGGTTTGGCATAAGGGGCATTTCGACTGTAAATTTCAGAGTTATTTCAGAGTTATTTCTTAAACTATAGCTTGTAGTTTCAGAGACGGAGTAAATCTGCGTAGGTAAATTAATTTCTCTTTGATCACGAAGTTACCTACACAAAGTGTTTAATTATTAAAGACATTTACCTGAGTATGTTAATCAATTTATCTTATAAAGTTTCATTAAGTTACCTCCGCAAGATTCAGTTACATAGCAAATCAGTAATTAGCTAGGGTGAATCTATTCTATCAGACAGGGGAGTATGGTGTGTTTTCGTTGTTAATTACCGACTCCACTGTCTCATAACTGGGAGTCTCACAACTGGGAGTTCTCACAAATGGGAGTAGACCGTGTGTTTTACTGGCTAAGTAATTATCAACAATTTAAACCATACTCGAAATATACAGACACATCAAGATTTCAATATAATCATGTGTATGGTTTACCCTGAAAATGGTTGTTATTGATATGAATTTTTATTTTTTTTATCCTATTACTGTACAGTTGGAGTCAGAATTATTCAACCCTCATGGCCAAAACATGCAATCACATTTATTGCAGAGACAGTACTTATTGTCTGTGATGATATAGTGACACAAGTATGGTTTAAGTATTTTTAACAAACAAACACAAAGGAAAATTGTAAATTAAATAAAATGTCATGCTTTCATTGATTTTAACAGTTTCAAAATTATTCTGACTTTGAAGTAGGGGGTTGAATAATTTTGATTTCAACTGTAGGTGGCAAATTATCCTGATCATCACCAACAATGATAAATGACAAAACACTCATTTTGTTGTTTCCCAAATGATTGAAATATATATTTTAACAATAAATCAGTATTAGATTTAACACATAGAATATCGTTGTTACACACAGTAACACATTGCCATATATTCCTTTATATACAATTAGCACCTCTTTTATAATTCTTTTTGAAATAAAGTTTTCATTAATGTTCAGAAATATTTACATAATGAGGTATAACCTTAATAAAAATGTTGCAACCTATCACAGCAATAAAAGTTGTGTAAATTACATGAAAACTGATATAAATGCAATTTACTAGAACACTTGAAAACAAATTGATAACTAATTTTATGCTGTATTTGCATTATAGTATAAATGATGGCATTTTCCAGATCCCAGGTGAAGAAGGCCATTGATGTGCGGCGTGAGAGCTGCAAGACAGGCGGGGGTCCAGCACCAGTTGGTCTGTCTTACCTGGAGCACAAGGTTGGATTTGTGATCGATTATTAAAATGGTTATTAAAAAAGTGGTGAAATTTATCTCATTTTGGTCTTACATAGTTAAAGTTAGTAAATCCGTATCTCATCCCATTTCAGAGTCTCAAACATTTCCAGCATATCAAAAACATTTACGTAATAATTGTGTGTTTTTATGTTTGTAGGTTGTGTCAATGATTCCTCAGTGCCAGATTGAAGGAATAACTGGTGGATTAGAGAATGAAGTGGAGGAAAGTATGTGATAAATAATACACTTCTATTATACCATACATATATCTATGAATATGTATGTCAAATTCATATCAACATTTCAACATCAATTGCAAAAGAATCACATTCAATAAGAAATCAATTTTGTTTTGAAACTAAATATTTACAGGAATTCGCTATTCCAATTATTAGGTTGCACATTGCAGTATAATGAGGGTAATGTTGTTTTTTAAGGGTAATGTCATTTGCAGATGTCTGATGTCTTCCATTAACAGTTCGACAAAGGAAAATAGTTTGTGTGATGAAAATGATACATTAATTTAATTTTAAAACTTTTTGGCAGTTTGCGTCACCTTGGAAACCAAAGATGCACCAGTATGCACGGTTGTGGAAGTAGCTGAAGCATTTGGTAAATATGTGTATTTGTATGTCTGTCTGTCTGTCTGTATGTATTAAAGCAATATTTATCAATTGAATCAAATTCATATTTGAAAAGAAAATATCTTCAATTGATCAATGCTTTAGAAGTAATACTGTATCATGGCAACATTCAGAATTGCACAACCTAGCCGGGTTTGGGATATCATGGTATACATAATGTGAACCCTACACCTACTTCACAAAATCTTTAAAAAAAATTTAAAACATATTTATGTATTTTCAGAATCAGGACTTACATTGACCAGCCTCCCTGTGGTATCAAGTGCGTTTGTACCATCAACAACAGTACAGCAGCCATCCATCAATTGCTACATCAGAGCTTGCCCTAGTACCCTCCACATCACAGCCATCAACAGAGCAGGCAGCTGAACAACCTGATAGTGAAAGGCCCCAAACAACTGTAAATGGTAAAATATATTCAGAAACATGTCAAACATAGTGCACTGTAATTTCAAGTATATTTTAGTATAATTTTATGGCAATACCAACACTATAAATGTGTACTCATATTAAATTTATTGGTTATAATTTATTTCTATAAAAAACTAAATATTAATGATATTTTTTTGCAGCAACTGAAATCCATTCAAGGACTAAAGTTACACACAAGTCAAGAAAATCTGGTAGGTAGGACATGTTCAAGTAAGAAAAGTTACTAGATTAAGATTAGGGCTGGGACGGTGGGTACTGAGTAGGACCCAGGTGAAGAATGTATTGTTTTACCACAACAATGTACCCAGGTAGTAAATTTAGACCCTCCAAGCCTTAATTCAGAGTGTAGTATAAATAGCAAACAAGAATTTTTAACTTAACAGTTTAATTGCATACAACAATAAAACAAATCGCAATTATGAAATTATTACCTTTTCTACAGAAAGGGAAGCTCAGCCAGGCGTGACTGCCATCCTTGCTAGTGAAAAGGAAAGGACTGGAATACTGAAGGTCCTCCTTGAAGTACAAAGAAAAATCCTGGCTGTCTCGGAACAGCGACTTCAGGTGGAGACTGACAGGCTGGCCCTGGAAAGAGAGAAATTTGAATTAAAAAAAAGTGTAATTAACCTACCAGAATACTGTTTCTCCCGTAATACAGTTTCTGCATGAATTGTAATCAAATTCATTATCTAATTATGAGATAATCCTTTTTGGAGCTTGTTTGAATGAAATTTGTTGATAATCTTGTATGTAGCTTTTGTAATGTTGAAAATTAATCTCTATGCCATGTATATTGGGAGTGTAATGCAACCCAAAGTTTTTGGAAAGAAATTGAAAGTTATATTATCAAAAATATACAGACTTTTGAAATAACAAAATCTGCAGTATGGTTTGACATTTTAGGCAATAACAATTACTAAACCACATAATATTTTCTGCAATTTTTTTAATTTATACTTGCACCTTACCAACTAATCAATTCCTACAAGCTTTGAAAGACATCTGCTGTTGAAAGATTCACAGCAAGAAGAAATAACAGCTTTGATAACTTTATAAATAAATGGTGGCCTTTCATCCCAAATATTCAATCTTTGACAAACTTAAAAAAATGATATTGATGAGTTTTTAACTCACACCTGCTGTACATGTATTACCTTTTTCACTAGCTTATCTGAATTATGCATGGGAACAAAAAAACAAAACAAACTATTTTATGATTTTTATGCTTCATAACTTCTTCTTGTTCACTTTGTTTCAAACTTGTATCAAGATACTTTTTTACCGTTATTAAATTTAATGTTATGTGATATACAATGGAGTTGTTTTTACTTACATTTCATGAAAATCTTTCGTTGACAAGGTTCTGCCTAGCGGTGTTGCCATCTACACACTGCCTGGGAGCGGGTGGGGTGTTGGTCTCCGCCTCTGCCTCTTCCAGTACATCTCCCAGTGGTACCTGCACTCCCTTGGTGATGCAGTAATTATGGAGCTTAAAGCATGCCATAATTACCACAGAGCACCTGTCTGGGCTGAACCACAGACATCCAGAGGACTTGTGCAAACACCTGGAATATTTTCATACAAATCAAATCTTACAACAATATTCTGGCAACAGGGGTTTAAAATAATCCTGATCATAATTTAGTTTGCAAGTACTGATTTAAATTCTGATTACATTACAATCAGGTCAAACTCACCTAAACCTTGCCTTTAAAACACCAAACGCACGATCAATGGTGTTTCTTGTTCTAGTGTGGGCAGAGTTGTACCTCTCTTGGGGGCGTGTCTGCGGCTCAGTAAAGGGTGTTAGAAGACATGGTCGACATGCATATCTGAAAAAAAATCATTACTTGATTGTTATACCAATATAGCAACATATCAATGATGTCATGATTCATAGTTACAAAAAATCATTGTGTACTCTCTGTATGTATATAGAGAATCTCACCCAAGTGTCTTCTGATATCAATTATATCAACACGAGTTGATAAAGTTACAAATATCCGAGGCTTGCCGAGGATATTTTTACTTTAATCAACGAGTGTTGATATATTTGATATCAGAAGACATGAGGGTGAGATTCTATTTATCATCCAAAATCACTCTTCATTAATTTTCAATGAAAAATGTACATCTCTGAACATGGAATTGCCATTAGACTTGCAGTGCAGCAATGTCATAGCATTGTGACGTCATCGAGTACATGACGTCATAGCATTGTCAGGGCATTGTACAAAATCTACTGTCAAAACGATATGTCCTAGGAGATATCGTTTGATCTCACGAAAGCGATATCTCCTGTGGAACACAGTTTTGGATGATAAATGACAATTAAAGTGACACTTCCTCATTCCTAGACACTATATTTTTTGTTTTGAGACATACCAATTACCACATGTGTTGAATTAAATTCAAAACACCTCTTCCAGCTTGCATATATATGTATATATGCAAGCTGGAAGAGGTGTTCTTGATTTAAATCAACACACATATATATATACATACCCAATTACCAAATATATAGAGAATCTCACCTAAGAGTCTTCTGATATCAATTATATCAACACGAGTTGATAAAGTTACAAATATCCGAGGCTTGCCGAGGATATTTTTACTTTATCAACGAGTGTTGATATATTTGATATCAGAAGACATGAGGGTGAGATTCTATTTATCATCCAAAATCACTCTTCATTAATTTTCAATGAAAAATGTACATCTCTGAACATGGTACTGCCATTAGACTTGCAGTGCAGCGATGTCATAGCATTGTGACGTCATCAAGTACATGACGTCATAGCATTGTAAGGGCATTGTACAAAGTCTACTGTCAAAACGATATCTCCTAGGAGATATCGTTTGATCTCACACAAGCAATATCTCCTGTGGAACACAGTTTTGGATGATAAATGAAAATATTGATACATTCGAAAACCGACTCATATACATGTGCGGAAGTGAAAATGAAATGTCCACTTTTCAATCATAGATCCTTACTTATACTTATATAGATCTAATGTCATTATGCTGGACCAGCTATAGCGAGCATTAAAATGATATTAGTCAGTAATATATGACCCCCAACAAATGTGAGCTAGAGTGTCACAATAAGAGGGTTAAAACCTCCACAACCTACCCAGAATCACCAGGGAGCCACCCATCCGGTGCCTGCTGTACCATCTTAGTGGCAATGCTGCAGTTGCTCCAAATGAGTGATTCGTGGGTTGACCCCAGCCACTTGACTACTACATTTGTGAAGCTGTAGACAAGAAAACAAGGGATCATAACTACTCATTTAAATGGATTAAAAATATTATAGTCTTCCTGTATCAAAACTAAAAATGCTGGTTTTACTTACATCTAGATCTCGTATGTTCATTTACATGTCTAGGTGTCTAGGCAGGTGCTAGTGACACTTCGCTATTTAGGTGTGTAATATTCAATAAATATTTCCCATTACGTTTGTAGTTCTAATCTGAGATAAGACAATGTAAGTGTTTTAATACGCCAACAAGCTTTTTAACATAAAGTAGCATACCGGAAATATGAGAGAATAAACATGATAACGTGTCATTTAAGTCAGTGGAATTGATAGACTATTTTTAACTGGACAGGGAACTAGCAACAATATGTCAGGTCAAGGTTGTGGCTAATGTAAACAAACCCGTTACGCATCGGGATATTTTTACCTTTCGGTCTTACTACAGGAAAATACTGAAATCATTATGCTTTTCCAGTTTTGTTTATTAAAAAAGTGAAGAAAAGATCTTACCGAAGAGAGCTGTCACAAATAGCCTGAACATTCACGGCGTGGTAGCCCTTCCAGCAAACGAACGCTGCTTCCTCGGCGATAGGGGGTCTTTTTTATTGGGATCAAGGTCCCGTCAACCGCTCCAAGAACTTTGGGGAACCAGGATAGTTTGTAGAAGCCCTCTTTAACTGCTATCTGTTCTTGTGGTCCCCATGGAAAATGAATATTATTTAGCACCGTGCAAAAAGCACTGGCTGTGCTGTGCTGGGATCTCGAAACGGTTGACTTGTCAAGGCCGTGGAGGTCCCCGATCTCGGACAGGAAGCCACCTTTGCCGAGATAGCGTAAAGTCAAGGCACCTGTGACTCTACAGAAATGGCGTGTGAACGCTGTGTACTCCTTCCGATTATTGGCTCAACTTCTTCTACAAGAGCTATAATAGCTTCACGTGACAAACGGTAGCGAGAAATCAGTTCGAAATCATTCAGCGTGTCCAGTTGACTCGTCCTGTCTCTGTAGACTCTCTGCTTCCTCAAACTTCTCTCAATCTCAATAAAAAGCAACATATGTTATATTTGGGATTACACTTTGTTAGTAAAGTACAAATTCTAGTACTTTGGGGGTTGAGTCCCATCCGGGATTCGAACCCGCACCCTCACGAGTCAGGCACCTAATCGCCAGCACACAAAATCAGACGCCTAGACCGCTCAGCCACTGCGGCTTCCACAAAAATGGAAGTCGGACAACAGGTAGTCTAGACTGCGGACTTTGTGTACCCCTCTGATAAGCGTTAATTGGCACGGCTCTCATGGCCGAAAGCTATGAAATACACAATGCCATTTTATAAAGTGGTCAAATGTAACATATGTGTAATCCCAAATATAACATATGTTACATTTGACCACTTTCTAAAATGGCATTGTGTATTTCAAAATAAAAGCAGTCGCCATATTCCCTACCCAACCTTAGAGACGCTAAGGTTGGGTCGGACCAACCTTACTTATCAACCTTAACTAAGGTTAACCTTAGTTAAGGTTGTTTCGTGCAACGGGAGGCTAACCTTAGTAAAGGTCTAAGGTTGTAATCTTAGAGATAAGGTTGACCTTAGAGATAAGGTTGTTGTGTGTGCACCAAGCCTGGGTGATTGCGCAGAAAAAGCCGGCCTGCAGAGCAGCAGCCAATTTTGTGGCGCAAACCTGTGCTGTGATTAAGCAGAACCAGGTTGGTAGTGACTTGTGCCATAGGTGTGGTCTGTTTTACACAGATATTCTTACCCATATTATCCAGTACTGTGATCACTTGACTGACCTCCGCGATGAACTGTGGTGTGAGATAATAGCTATTGGTAGTGTACAACCTTAACGATTGGGATTTCACACTGTGCATGTTATCCTGTGTGACTAGTTTTAACCTGTGCACAGATGACAGAGACACTTTCGCGGCAGTTTGTGTGCAGTATGTGTTCCGCATGGCGAACAGATACTACCAGAGATCTGTCTGTGTCACATAGATATGAAGCACTGTTCCACGAACGTTCAGATCTGGTACGGACTGCGCATATACCCAACGACCATTGCTTGAAGAATAATATGTAATTATCGTATTGTATATATACTATGTGAACCTTGTACTCTTCAGAATGGAGGAAATAAATATTATATATATATACATCTATTTATCGGAGCGGTCTGTATAATTTTACTGTCAAGACTTTGACGGAGATGGATATAGCATAAAAATAGGAATCGATAAACGCAAGCATGTATATCGCGTATCGTATCGTCAGTAAAAATGTATCGATGCATCGATACATTTTCATATCGCGACACCCCTAAATACTATCATTATTGTTTTAACGATTATTTTACATATGAGTGTTGATCGGGTTGAGAACCAATCATGAATTCACAGCCCTAAATGTTAAAAAAATCGATCATCAATCGATCGATATATGGTATAAAACTAACAAACTACTTAACTGAAATAAGTACACATTTTTACAGCGTTAAAAAATCATACCCAAAGTCGATCGTTGCCACAAAACCCGTCCGACATCATGAGATGTGGTTGTCGAATACGGTGCGTGTATTGTCAGCTGACAGCTATCGCTGCTGGCGGTCTTCCAGTATACGTTGTGCCTTCCTCGCGGTGTTATCCATACAATTATTGTCCTCTGTTAAAACGCACATGTACCTCTGTCAAGGGAAATCCCACAAATGAACCCATCCTCAGATGTACGTGCTTAAAAACTCCAATGTCAGCATTGTTGGTGCCACACGTTCGCCGAATGCTTTTGTCTTATCACAGAGAAAACCCCTGGTGGCGAATCTATTTTTAGAACAAGCTATGGGAAGTCACTCTCGTGCTTCATCTGAGCAAGAGCCGAAGTTTGTGGTGAAATCGGACATATGTTTGGAGCACTTGCGTGGGCCAGACTCCCAAGAAAGCTGACGTGATAAGCCGTGAATAGTGTAATGTTAGCGCGTACTGTAAACTATCCCTAACATTTGACAATTGCCGAGGTATTTTTCGACATCTCCTACATTGAAGCCGTGCAAGGTTAGACTGCGTGGCTGTTTTGCAGACTGGTGAATTTTCACGCTTAAGACAGTCCAGATGGGTTCGAATCTCACCGACTCTGAAAATACAGTTGTTATTATTTTTCAAAAATATAATTATATTTTAGGATCATTTGAAAATATCACAATGAATTTTCCGCTTTAAAAATGCAGTAACTTAGTTAATCACTCCATTATTTCATTGTCTCAAATATCGAACGTTTTACAATTAATCACAGGCTCCCTTACCATTCTTTGAAATGTGTTGAAGACATGTTTGTATAACTGACTGTTTTTCAAATGTTTTAAATCAGAGAGTCCTTGAATGAGACCAAAATGATTCTAATGATATTATTTATATTTTTTTCTGGCAAGTCATCTTACTTTTTTTAATACCTTTTCATCGTATTTCACCGTTTTGCGATTTCTATAAAAAAAAACTCTGTTAGAATGCTGATATTGACGGGAAGAAATATATGTTGCTGTTTTTCAAGTTGTTAGAAATTAAATGAAAAAGATAGTTGTTATTTTCCCTTTATAAGAGAACCTTCACTTGTTTTGGGGAGTTGTGTGTGTGTGTGTGGGGTGGGGGGTGGGGGGGGAAGAAAGCAAGGGTCATTCACATTGTACATGCTGGACCATCAAAATCAACGTCAGATCCCTGGCCCCATAAGTTATGAATGGCCCCAGAGCAAAGAAAGAAGTTTTGGGTTACCTACCTTCCGTTGCGATTTGGTCGCAATTCGTTGTATAGAAGTTTTTAGGAAATAGTTTCGACACGTTTTACCTTCAATTTTTACCAAAAGAATTCTTATATTGATAGCGACATGAAATGAGCTTTGCTCATTTCACCTAATATTGTTTTAAAACAAAATCCTTGTGAGTTCGATTATATAACTTGTTTCGGCAATCAGGGGATAAGAAAAATGTCATGCCTCAATATTAATTCCAAAATGCATCTGAAAGGGTTTCCAAGAGAATACATCAAGTGAACTAACATCTGGACACGTCTCATGGGGAAGTGATATTCCGAAATGACGAAATTACAGGTTTGATGTTTCTCAAGATATCATGACGAAATACATCGCAATCGGTCGCAATTGTTGCTGATAATAAGTGTCATAGCACATTTGTGTCATATTTGTGTCAGAACTGTGTATAATTGGGGTGAAGTTGTGGTATGGCTGATGGACGGGAAGGAATGTGGCAGATGGTCGGGAAGGAATGTGGCAGATGGACGGGATGGTATGTGATACGCCAATATGAAATCCTTCAAGAGGGGCACGGCTCGTTATTCGGAGTGTCCCGGAATAACACTAGTTGGTAACGAAAGGGGATGCGGCTGATTTTTAGGGGGTGTGACAGGTAGACGGGAGGGGTGTGGTTGGTAGACGGGCGGGTATGCGGCTGATAGACGGGAGGGGATGTGACTGGTGGACGGCAGGGTGTGTGACTGATAGACGGGAGGGGGTGTGGCTGATGGACGGGAGGGGGTGTGGCTGGTAGACAGGCTGGTGCATAGCTTTTAGACGGGCCGGTGCGTGGCTGATTTTAGGGAGGGTGTGTGGCTGATTTTAGGGAGGGTGTGTGGCTGATTTTAGGGTGGGTGTGTGGCTGATGGACGGAGGGTGTGTGGCTGATGTAAGGGAGGGTGTGTGGCTGGTAGACGAGACGGAGGGTGTGTGGCTGATGGTGTGTGGCTGGTAGACGGAGGGTGTTTGGCTGATAGACGAGAGGGTGTGTGGCTGGTAGACAGGAGGGTGTGTGGCTGGAGACGAGAGGGTGTGTGGCTGATTTTAGGGAGGGTGTGTGGCTGATAGACGGAGGGTGTATGTCTGATAGACGGAGGGTGTGTGGCTGATGGATGGGCGGGTGCGCTGGCTGATTTCAGATGGACGGAGTGTGTGGCTGATTTTAGGGAGGTGTGTGGCTGTGTGGTTGATTTTAGGGAGGGTGTGTGGCGCTGGTAGACAGGAGGGTGTGTGGCTGGTGGTAGACAGGGTGTGTGGCTGGGAGGGTGTTTGGCTGGTAGACAGGGAGGGTGTGTGGCTGGTAGACGAGAGGGTGGAGGGTGTGTGGCTGGTAGACAGGAGGGTGTGTGGCTGATAGACGAGAGGGTGTGTGGCTGGTAGACGGGAGGGTGTTTGGCTGATAGACGAGAGGGTGTGTGGCTGGTAGACGAGAGGGGGTGTGGCTGATAGACGAGAGGGTGTGTGGCTGGTAGACGGGAGGGTGTGTGGCTGGTAGACGAGAGGGTGTGTGGCTGATGGACGGAGGGTGTGTGGCTGATTTTAGGGAGGGTGTGTGGCTGATTTTAGGGAGGGTGTGTGGCTGATGGACGGAGGGTGTGTGGTTGATTTTAGGGAGGGTGTGTGGCTGATTTTAGGGAGGGTGTGTGGCTGGTAGACGGAGGGTGTGTGGCTGGTAGACGGAGGGTGTTTGACTGATAGACGAGAGGGTGTGTGGCTGGTAGACGGAGGGTGTGTGGCTGGTAGACAAGAGAGTGTGTGGCTGGTAGACGGGAGGGTGTGTGGCTGGTAGACGGGAGGGTGTGTGGCTGATAGACAGAGAGGGTGTGGCTGGTAGACGGGAGGGTGTGTGGCTGGTAGACGAGAGGGTGTGTGGCTGGTAGACGGAGGGTGTGTGGCTGATAGACGAGAGGGTGTGTGGCTGATTTTAGGGAGGGTTTGTGGCTGATAGACGAGGGGGTGTGTGACTGATTTAAGGGAGGGTGTTTGGCTGATAGACGAGAGGGGGTGTGGCTGATTTTAGGGAGGGTGTATGGCTGGTAGACGGGAGGGTGTGTGGCTGGTAGACGAGAGGGTGTGTGGCTGGTAGACGGGAGGGTGTGTGGCTGGTAGACGGAGGAGGTGTGTGTGGCTGATAGACGGGAGGTGTGGCTGGTAGACGGGAGGGGTGTGTGGCTGATAGACGAGAGGGTGTGTGGCTGATTTTAGGGAGGGTTTGTGGCTGATAGACGAGAGGGTGTGGCTGATTTTAGGGAGGATTTGTGGCTGATAGACGAGAGGGTGTGTGGCTGGTAGACGGAGGGTGTGTGGCTGATAGACGAGAGGGTGTGTGGCTGATAGACGAGAGTGTGTGTGGCTGATAGACGAGAGGGTGTGTGGCTGATTTTAGGGAGGGTTTGTGGCTGATAGACGGGAGGGTGTGTGGCTGGTAGACGGAGGGTGTGTGGCTGATAGACGAGAGGGTGTTTGGCTGATTTTAGGGAGGGTGTGTGGCTGATAGACGAGAGGGTGTGTGGCTGATAGACGAAAGGGTGTGTGGCTGATAGATGAGAGGGTGTGTGGCTGATAGATGAGAGGGTGTGTGGCTGATAGACGAGAGGGTGTGTGGCTGATAGACGAGAGGGTGTGTGGCTGGTAGACGGAGTGTGTGTCGCTGATGGACGGGCGGGTGCGTGGCTGATTTTAGGGAGGGTGTGTGACTGATTTTAGGGAGGGTTTGTGGCCACCTTACTTGCCTAGCATTGACGTATTGCCACTCGGCGTTTTATGTCTGGAATACTCTTGACTGTGGCGTTAAAATAATATGTGGGACTAGTTTTACAGGACTTGGACCTGCTTTCTGTTTGGTGAGGACATTGTGACCTCGATGTTCTGTGTTATAACTGTCTGTGTGGTCTTTGAAATGTCGTCGAAAATTGAAAAAAAAGCACCAAAAATAGAACCGAAACAAAACAAAAAAGAAAACAACCAAAACGTTTGCATGTTTCTTTATTATTTGTTTGACGCCACACTGATGAACATTCAAACTGTTTGACGCCACACTGATGAACATTCCAACTGTTTGACGCCACACTGATGAACATTCCAACTGTTTGGCGCGGCCTGTAATATGTCGAGTCTGGACCAGACAACCCAGTCTCCATGTTCCACAGATCGACCCAGTCCGTACGGCATACAACCAAATCACCGAGTGTGGCGAAGTAATCGCCTCACAAGGTCTAACACCTCCGTGGTGTAGTGGTTAGAGCATCCGCCCTGAGAGCAATAGGTCGCGGGTTCGATACCCTGAGTCTGGGCTAGTACAAACATGCACGTCGTTATATGAGCGAAATATTCTCAAGTACGGCATTACACCACATTTCACCTCGCAACCACTCAGACACATTATACTGACTCCGAGCCGACTTGTTGTACCCATAATGTCGAGCGCCAGGCAGGGACCATCAAGTACCACATTTTTAACGTCTTTTGGTATGACGCGGCCGGGGATCGAACCCGCGACCTTCCGCACTCCGGGCGGACGCTCTGACCACTACACCACGGAGGCGGTCTCGGGATCAAGGGGTATTCCTACAATGAAAGTGTGTGGGAGCCTTGGTCAGATGGCCAGACACTCGCGAACAATGACGCATGTGACCGATCTCAAGGCTACGGCAGCAAACATAGTCGTTGTTATCGAGGGCACCTACACAGCTCACAGAATACGTAATCCGTACTCATTCGGTTTGGTTTGGTTGTTGTTTAACACTGTACTCAGCAATCTTCCAGCTATATGGCGGCGGTCTGTAAATGCAATACTATTGTATTAGTATTTTTCTCCTTGGATTGTCTCATTCCCAAAATGAATGTATAGCATATATAAAATAAAAACAAGCTGAAGTAGTTTCAATCTCTTTTAATAACTGACAAGAAACTTGAAACCCAGTACAGTTAAAACCTAAACTCAATGAAGCTGCAAGTCTACACCCAAACATCCTGTATTTAAGCTGCGCATTTATCAACGGACGTCAATCACACAATTATCGATAGTCACGCACACTATCGATACATCGATAAATTTTCGTTACCATCAACGACTAATTGCTATCGGACACTCAACAATTGCAATCTATCGACAGTTCGATGCATCGTTAAGCCCTACTGTTTAACAAACATATATACCTTGTGTGGAATGTGTCTCCAGTTCCCTATTGCTGGTCGTAAGCTAGAGGACGCTGAAATGGGAAGTCGTGGAGGATGAAACTGTCAGGTTTGGTCCAGACAATCCAGTGATTGAAATGATGAGCATCGATCTATGTAACCAGGGCATAATGACAGCCAGTGAGCCTGACCACCCATCCCAACACCAACGTTTAGTCTCTGAATGTATAGTTGTGACAGAAACCAATAAGTCCATTTAAATTCAAAAGGATCTGAAGTGAGATGAGAGATTCAGAACCTAAGGAAAGCTAGACTTGTTTCATTTAGGAATTTAGCATTCCAGAAAGGGCTGGGCGGAAGGGAACATAATGCGGTTCAGGCTTTGTTAAACAGACTAACCGATTCCGTTTGTCACCACTTATGACAAGCATGGGTTGCTGGAGACCAATTCTAACCCGTGTAATTTATGAAGCGTTAAATCAATTATCGGTCTAACATCATGGGTCCTACGAGTTTGTTTACGTCTACAAAGTCTCTGTGCTCCGTGAAGCCACCAGCGTCTAAAAATTGCCAGCAATGGCGTACATGGCGTCCCCGATTTCTTTACTGCAAGGTGCGATCTGAGCTGTCGGGAGGACGAACCCCTCAAGGCCGCCACTGCTAGGTCGGAGTTCAAATGTTATGGCGTAAGGGATGTCCTCGGTAAATCGTGCCCAGTGACGTGACCCGCCATGTATGACATCTGAAATAGACCCGTGTATCAGAGAGTTTAAGTAAGCTTAGGCTCAGTATTATTCGTTACATTGCTATACTGAGTCTAACAAACCCTAGTAGAAGGTCGCGTCAGCTGACCTTTTGGACTGACCAATAAGAACACAGCTTACCAAATTCTCGCACATACGTAGAGTGAATGAATGAGTGAATGAGTTTAGTTTTGCGCCCTTTTTAGCAATATTCCAGCAATATCACGGCGGGGAACACGAGAAATGGGCTTCACACTTGTCCCCAAGTGGGGAATCGAACCAAGGTCTTCAGCGTTACGAGCGAACACCTCAACCACTACGCTACCCCATCAACTACATATAAAAATGGCAATACATTATTGACAAAGGTAATAATTATTAGAATGGGTGAAACTGGACTGAACGCCGCCTACACGACTATGTAGCTTAAAGTGCTGCAGTTTTACGTCAATAGCCTACTCCGAGGCGTCCATCCTATTTCCTCAATGTCAAATGAGTGAGTGATTTTATTTTTACGTCATTTATAGCAATATCATACCGAGGGACACAAAAATGTGCTTCAAACAATCAAACCATGTGGGAAGTCGAACCCCGGGTCTTCGGCGTGACAAGCGAACGCTTTAACCACTAGGCTACCCAATACCAGTATGAGGAATGAACTGATATATCACAGCTTTCGTTTGGTGTGCAGACAATTAAAGTACAACTAATACCGACCGAAGTACAACTAATACGTTCTTCCGTCAGAAGCAAATATCGCATCGACGTCAAATTCGACGTCTCGAGCTGCCGGATAAAGAAATATCAGAAATAGGAGGGGGAGACATAGAGAATACTACACGAGGTCTCATTACATACGAATTATACGAAACGAGTGTCCTTCCTATGGTATCTGACCGTATAATTCGTATAATTCGTATGTAATGAGACCGAGTGTGGTATTTTATTAATTACCCACGTCTTACATGCATTAAATTGACAAAATAGAGTAGTTTTGATATTGTTGTGATTTCAAACCAAACCGGCACGGCAACGTTCGCAATGTTTACATTCTCACAATGCATCTAAGTTGTAGAATGAATTAATTCACGTGTTTGTTATGAATGAACAAGTAGTTCCGTTTCAAAGTGACCTAACTGAGAGGTCATGGGTTATCCAATCAAATCGTTAGAATCTCAGGTCAAGTCGTTACGAGGTCAACGCGATACGACACAGAACCAAAAGCCGGATAGTAAACCACTGAAATAAACGTAAATACAGTAGGAAATACATGCCATGACCGGATTTACGTATGTTTTCAGATATTTCCTAACTTCGGGCATATATTTCATATGAATCTATACCTTTGAAACATATGCTCATCGTACATTTTCGTATGCACAAGCACCTCGTTCATGTATGCCCTGACCGGATTGTCAGGGATTTCCAAACATGAATTGCAAAACAGATACCCCGGTAAATACATGATCATACAGTATTTCCAATGCATTCCTTTGAATTTCAAAGGGTGCTGAAATTTCCGATTTCGTTCTAAGTTTCCTCGGGTTGGAAACATGCAAATTTACTTAGGTGGGGAAACACATGTAAATTTTCAAATTTGCAAATATTTACACACCTTAGATATTTATGTATCATACCGGATTTCAGGGGTATGTATATGAACGTTTTATACACCTTCATCTTACCTGTACTCAAGCAAGATGATCACATGTTTTCATCATGTGAATTACTTGGTTCATGTAATTTCATTTTCACACATTTTAGTACGTTTGAAATCAACGTTCACATGACCTCAATATTCTTATCACCAAAAGAGCCTGACAAAGAAAGCAGTATTACGCAAGTTCACACGCCTTATCAAGCTGCACTCGCTCTTGCTACCAGTATCAATTACGCCTTGTCTGTGGTGTTGGCAAATCTTGTGAGGTGCCCCTTTGTCCTCGCCAGTGGCCCCAGCTGTCCCAATGGAATAGCACTTTGTCTCTCTTGGAGCACAGACTAATATGCTACACGAACCAACTCGTAATTTCTTAAGTCTGTTCAGTTCGCGCATCACTACTGTAAAATATTTTGTGGCAGTACATAACTGGAATATTATTGCACTGCATGTGACCTTCCTTAATAGTCTCACAGTGCCTGAGCAATGTTTTTTCTCCATTTGCTCAGCCTTTGCTGAAATAGCGCCATACATAAACTTAAAGTTGTCCTCATTTGTTTCACTAACGCAAACGTATACGATAACAAACAATGCCATATAAAATTATATATTCTGTGAGACATGAAATGAAAAATTGTTTTTATCGTGTAGCGATTATGACCGGATACCACAGGCGGGTGCGTTCTTTGAGTATATCATAGGCATGTTGGATCTCCGTGCCTTTTGTGAAATTCGTGTATATTGTCCTGTTTAAATTGACGATCCATAACTCAGATTGCGAGTAAATATCACGTAAGTAATTGTGATGTCGCATTGCTGTAAATTTCCCTGTCGGAGAAGTCATTCTCACAAGATATATATTCCCTTGTTTAGAGAAGATCTAGGGCTATTACGCTCCAGTGTTGCTAAACATCTTGTAGGCCTTTAGTCTGACACAGACGCAGACCTCGCATGTTCAAGTTCAGATCTGACAGGGGCTGAAAATATCATTCCGACATGAACACAATATCTCAGTGTTTCCCTAAGTAAGTGGAGTGCTTTCTACAACATTGGAAATAACTGTATCGTTGTCCTTCTGATACTCCCGGGGCGGTGGGGTAGCCTAGTGGTTAAAGCGTTCGCTTGTCACGCCGAAGACCCGGGTTCGACTCCCAACATGGGTACATTGTGTGAAGCTCATTTCTGGTGTCCCCCGACGTGATATTGCTGTAATATTGCTAAAAGCGGCGTAAAACCAAACTCACTCACTCTGATATTCCCCCGAACGGAAGCTCTACCCATGTAGGGTACAATGTGTAAGTTACAGAATTGTAGGGAATAGTCTTAAGACTTTTCTACTTTGACCACGATTCTTTGAACTTGTAACAGTCGTTTGAGAAGATCAAAAGAGGAAAGGGTAGTGCGCGATGTATCTGATGGACGTATATGGAGAACGTTCGAAGAACTTTATAAATACAATAATAGAATTACCGGTTATGTTTAAAACGTACCCTCAATCTGATAGCCAGAGGGATTATTGTGAAAGATCGCAGTATGTATCATCATAAACGGGCCAAGATAATAGTATATGTCATTCATCCCCACATTATATCCCTTTAATAGACACGGGACATCGTTGTTACAGGTAGGGCAAACACTTTCTTCTAAAAGTATCTGCCGGTTTCACGCTACATACATGTGTTCAGATTATCGAGAAAACTAGCGACGCAAGTTCTCCTCCATCACACCAGAGACCACATAATCTATCATATGGCCTTTGATCACACATATAATTGATTAGATACCCAGTATTTATTGATAGCGATGAAGCAACTTATCAAAATTTACGGCCGACAGTATCATCTGCATTACTCTCACAGGGTTGTCATGGTAACGATAATTTGGCATACTATTTATTGTGTTATTCTTTAATCTGCGATTAGAATTTAAATCAGTTTTGACGTGAGCATGTTAAGAAAGAGAAGCTGTAAAACGAAATGTATAGGCCTTTGTAAATGCGAGTTTCAAAGCCACCTACTAAAAACCTGTTTTCATGATAAATATCTGCTAATCCTTGGCACGATCCGACCATATCATGGGTATGTGTTTGTGAATCATAATCAAATAATGATGTTACAAGGCGTCCATGGCGCGTCAACAACACGTGCAAAGAGGAGGAGTAGCTACCATTATAAAAACAGCTCGAGCTTACATGATCTTTGCTAAAAATAATTTGTCCTCTAATTCTTGCCAAAATACCCACAAACACGTTCCATTTAAAAGTGGAAATAACTTTATGAATCATACTGACTACAGTATTCTTTGATTAAAGCATTACCATGTACAGTAAACAGGTTATTCTTCATATCATAACTTTCAGTGATGATTGTTTTTCCAACGACATGTATGAGGATGTTTTGTTACAGTCATGATTATATGTGAATCATCACTGAAATGCAGTTGTTTATTTTTCATTTGTTTATCATTTATTTTAGAAAAAACACCAAATACTCGATGTATGGTATTGTATCAATGCAGCAGACATGTGTAAACTATGTCCAAACATATTTGTATATGAGGAAATCACATTTCAATTTCGACAATACTTTGAAGCTTTTGAAATCATCAAACGTCATAAGATAACTCTTCAAGTCTCATAAAAAATGAAAGTTGGGCAAGGCCCTCAATACCACCTATAATATAAATTTTTGCAGCCCATTGGGCTTACACGAAAAATATGGCTTGCTACGCGCCTGGCAAACGCACGAGAATTGCAATGCGGGCCTCTAACCACTGATTCTCCGTGACCTGGAGAAACATGTGACTGAGCATATGTTGGGACGTCGTATTGTCATACAGACCCTGAAGCAAATATATCCAAGCCCACGCAAGTCTACAAAATGTGGCAAGTCTAGATTTCCACAGCTTCAGGGCTCCTTTTCATTATATTATATATTGTTTTATACTATGAACTTTTTTTCTGTAAAACATGTTCATATCAGAGACTAGTTGTTAATCTAGTTCTGATGGGTAGAAGACAAAAGACAAAATGGATACTAGTGCTGTTACTATTTTTTAATTATATATAAACATTCGCCCTTGTCTCGGGATGAATGTATATTTTCCACCAAATGTACATTCGGAGGATACCGAAATCTAGGTTAAGCTATTTGAATCATATTTGCAATTAAAACACCCAAACAATGGTTTGTTGTTCAAATTTTTGGTTTTCCATATCTTGTCCCAGTCTGTATCACAGTCACATAACGATATTTTTTCCCCTTCCGTCTCTAGGAAAACTCACTGCAGGGTTAGGGTTATGGAGTACCATACCAAACACCCACAGCTGGCGGGACCAACATCTCCAGTAACATTTACATCTGCCAACGCTCAATTCGCAAGTGGTGAGGCAATAAGCTAATGAGGCTAAGGGTTTGTGAAATATCTATGACGCCTTATATGAAGTCCATCATCTAAGCAAGTCTAGCTATGTATGGCGTTAAGTCACTGCTTGAAGAAAGGCTCCTTTAGAAGTTTATTTGGTAAATACATGTATAATTTAGTATTTCCATGTTGATAGTAACAAACAAACCTATTTAAAATGAAAAGGAGCCCCAGAGAGACACGAGATTCAGTCCGGCCAGCCATGGCAGTTAGATATGTTAACTTTGTAACCCGACCCCCAAAGTGAGTTAGGTTTCTTGCAGATGTTAACAAGACCCTGGACCTGAGGAGATCTAGACTTGCTTCATTTAAGGCTTTAGCATTGCAGAGAGGGCTTGGCAGTAGGGCAAATAATGTGGTTCAGGGACTGTGAGATAGACTAGAAAATGCATGGCAACCTACACTTCATTGCGACTATGATTAAGGCATCATTTTAAAACACAAGGGTTATTTCCTTTGCGTTAACTGACAGGCTTTCGGTGTCAAATTATTTGGAACTCCGGCCAAAGGTGATGTTATGCTGTCCGGAAATATGGCCTTTTTGCAATGCTTTGGTTGCACATAATGATAAGTGATTGTTGTACATATAGAGAATCTCACCCAAGTGTCTTCTGATATCAATTATATCATCACGAGTTGATAAAGTTACAAATATCCGAGGCTTGCCGAGGATATTTTTACTTTATCAACGAGTGTTGATATATTTGATATCAGAAGACACGAGGGTGAGATTCTATTTATCATCCAAAATCACTCTTCATTAATTTTCAATGAAAAATATACATCTCTGAACATGGTACTGCCATTAGACTTGCAGTGCAGCGATGTCATAGCATTGTGACGTCATCAAGTACATGACGTCATAGCATTGTCAGGGCATTGTACAAAATCTACTGTCAAAACGATATCTCCTAGGAGATATCGTTTGATCTCACACAAGCAATATCTCCTGTGGAACACGGTTTTGGATGATAAATGATGTTTTTGAAGGATAATCTCAGCTGACTAATACTTTGCACGTGTTTCCCCCACTCTTTCCATACCCGTAAAAGTTAATTTTCCATATATATGTCTGTAAGAAAATATTGTAAAGTAATGGGATGGCTGAATTTGGCCACCTGAGGTAGTGACCACAGCACTCTGGTTATACTGCATTCAGAGAGGACAGAGCTTGGCAAGATACCAATAAATATGCTTGTCATTTAAACCTTTATCTGATGTTTGTGGAATGTGATTTTATAATTGAAGATGCTTCCTGCACCTGTAGCCCCAATATAGATGTTGTTAGTCTGTGAATCTTCCAAATTAATTCGTTTCTTTTTTTTAATTGAAATTAAGATCTTTGCCTTATATCAAAATAATATATTTCAGTCTTAATGTGCCTATGTCGGGAATCAAACACCGGTTTTTGACCTGACAGGCGAACGCTTTAACCACGAGCGTACCCCAACATTCCCTGATACCTTTAAAGAATATACATTGGTTCATTTATTATACATTCAAGATTGAACCCAGTTTTGTCACCATATATCCTTCAGTTTTTATGTTAGTGACATGATCTTCACACTGATAATTTAAAAAGAGGAATATAAATAATGATTGTTTGCGATCTTTATCCAATTTAGTTTTCCATTTATCTAGTAATTTTCAGTTTCTATTTCCTGGAAATTCTGTACGAAGGTACTTTTAACAGTTTCATCCAATAACAGTAAAGAATACAGATAATACGTACACATTATATTCCATGATATTGAGATACCAAAATGATGAACATAATTACATAATGTATAACAAATTAGACAGCAAAAAGCAAAAGCAAAAAAGAAAACGCATGAGCAACATAAATGCTGGCAGGTTGTAAGATTTCAATAATTATCGAAACTGCTTAGTTATGAGCTAATTGCAATCACAACAATTTTTTATAGTCTACCCAAGAGATGGAAACAAAATAAGTCTGTTATGAAAATTATGAGCTAATTGCAATCACTGCAATTTTCTATAGTCTACCCAAGAGATGGAAACAAAATATGTCCACAGTATATTCCGTCGGGAAACTGAAATTTGAGAAAACGTCCGTATGGGATAATACCTGTATTCCGAATCAAAAAGAGGTCATACCAAGTTTGTGCATGTTCACACATTTACAACAGTAATCATTAATACATTGTAATCATCTTTTATGAAAGTATAGATAAGGAAATTTGTTCAGTTATGATCAGTCGGATAACTCATACAAGTGAGCACTAAAATTAGGGACCTACCGGTTCATGTCTGTGTGAACACATCTGTCTGTGTTTTATTGTAATTAGCAGTGTCTACTTGTATAGCATATATAAGAAGTGTACCTAAGGTCAGTTATATAAACTGTTATGTAATTTCCATTACAAAAAGTATAAACGATACTACCTACTGGTCAGTAAGACTTATCAGTACCCTAACACCGACCCACCGCCACCACCCCACCCTAGGCCTACCCCATGTCACACCCTCTCCCTCGCACACACACACACACGCACGCACGCACGCACGCACGCATGCACGCACGCACGCACGCACGCACGCACACGCACACACACACACACACACACACACACTAACATACACATCGCTCTGGCCCATAGACCCGATATTTGAATCTTTTAAACAGACACCATGTGTATGTCAAGAAAAACACGCACGTTAATAGTGGTGCTCAGTCATGGGTATGTGTTTCTAATTATCTCAGTACATTATGGCGTGCTCGGACGCGCTAACGAACCCTATGTGACAGTTACATTACAGAACCATTGAAATACATGTGAAAGTAGTGCTAATCATGTAACACTAGATTTACCCATTTCCAACCATTTACGCATGTACTAAATATATGACAAATCTAACCCTGGTCATACGAGATTTCAAGGGTATTGAAGTGCATGTCCTACAATCACAGCATTTACATATGTTACACATGTTAGGAAACACATGAAAACAATGGCCAGATTTACACACCTGTGAAATACATGTAAATGCAGAGTTGCATGTTGGTTTATTTTAACACCCCTTTAAACATGTGTTAATCTGACGGCCAGATGATGCGTAGATTTCAAACGTTGTTCAAATGGCCGCCGGATGAAACGAGTATTTCCTGACCTTAGTAAATTTGGGTAATACAGTCATTTTGTGTGGTGGTACGAGATTAGTATGCAACTACCCATACGTTGACCACGTGGGTAATAAACATATATATGGACAAAGCGAGTGAGTGTGAGAGTGAATATGTTCCAGCAATAACAAGGTAGAAATGGGCTTCGCACTTTGTACCCATGTAGGGCATCGAACACGGGACTTGGGCCTGACGCACGAACGCTTTAACCACTTGGCTACTTGGTAGAGGTAATATATGCAGTACAGTGTGCATAGCAAATTTCTCCAGACAACCAGTGGAGAGAGATATATGGAACAAAAGATAGAAATGCAGTGTCAGTTTGTACCCCAGATTGCTTAAATTGTCAGTTACGTCGAGCAAGCACCCACATTAAGTTCTATAGATAGTTCATATTTCATAATAACTGTCCACAAAAATAGATTTCCTTTTATTTCCCAGCAGCACTGCCTTTGCATCAGATGAATACAACGTTGGAGGTACAACTCAGCATGTTTTATATGAGGATTTCAAAGAACGTCAATCGACTCTTACTCAAATATTGCTTGATGAGTGTTGCAACTGTTGAAGGCCCTAGTAAAATGTGGTGTGGAAGACATGTTGAAAACATTTCAGAATATTTCGCTAGATGAATAATTGACTTTCCTTTGCATGTGTTTGTCATGAGTCGCACTGGAGGGAGGGGGTCAGGGCACGCCCCCTGGAATCATCACTATTTGACAAATGGTAATGTACAGATGCTCACTGTAACACATACTATATTTGGGATTACACTTTCGCTGTAACGTACATATTCTAGTACCCTTTCTTGGGTTGAGTCCCATCCGGGATTCGAACCCACACTCTCAGAGTAAGGCCAATAATCGCCAGCACACAAAATAGGTTTGAATCCCGGATGAGACTCCACCTAACAATCTGTACTTTACTGAGAAAGTCTAATCTGAAATAACATATGTTACATTTGTGTATTTCTTACGATAAAGTAAAAGTCCTTCAATGCACAGTGCTTTTAGCAGATAATTTCTTCACATAACGGGCATGGTCTTGTCACTTTATCGCCTTAAAGGTTCAAGTTAACCTGTTTCAATAATCAAATAATAAAGAAAAAACCCAATGCTAATCTCACTATGTGATCCCTGTTAGGAGGGTACGTGTTCTTGGCGAAACCGTATGGCGTCAGAAGGAGCTGTGAGAAGGAGTGGCACTGATTGGTCCACGCTCATTCTGAATGTCCTTGACCTTGTCCCGAATGTTCTGTGTCTCTATCTCCGAGAACACTGACGGCCCTCTGTAGCTGTCTGACGAGCACAACCCGCTCGACCCTGACCCTGAAACAGGGTCAAAGCAGGGATGAGTTGACCCTCTTGAAAGAGAGGCTGACATTTTAGAATGTCAGTTTTAATTGATATGAGTAACATGTATAATTGAACAACCTTGGGAACTTTACCTCCCCACATGGAGTCAAAGTTCCGGTTGAGATCAGCACCACGGCTACTGCCACACCCGGATATGATGCTCCGGTTCTTCCTCCAGTACCGATACTGTCGACAGGGATAACAACATATTCTGGCGTTTGAGTTTGCAGATCACATTCCAATTTTAATATATACCAGAGAGTATACATCTGTTTATATGTGATGTTCTGCTTTCAGTTGTCTTCTTAAAGCGGAGGAGATGATGTAGCTTATTGGTTAAAGCGTTGGCTCGTCACGCCGAAGACCCGGGTTCGATTCCCCACATTGGTACAATGTTTGAATCCCATTTTCTAGTGTCCCCAGCCATGCCATTTCTGCAATATTGCTAAAAGCGGCTCAAACTAAACTCACTCATTCACTCACTCACACACTCACTCACTCACACACCCAACCCACCAACCCACCCACTAACTCACTCACTCACCCACTCACTCACTCACTCAAACGGTACTGAGATCGAGTCGGATGCGGCAGTACCCCGATAAGTCGAACACTCTTCTTCTATTCAAGACAATGGACCTCAACTGTAGAATACCTATCTGTTGGACTGTGCACACAACTTACTGTGAGGGGCGGTGGGGGTAGCCTAGTGGTCAAAGCGTTCGCTCATCACGCCGAAGACCCGGGTTCGATTCCCCACATGGGTACAATCTGTGAAGCCCATTTCTGGTGTCCCTCGCCGTGATATAGCGGGAATATTGCTAAAAGCGGTGTAAACTAAACTCACTCACTTACTGTGAGCGAATTCTCCACTACAGTGATACACAGATAAACTTCACTGAAGCGTTTCCTAGATACTCACAGAAGTGTGACTGTATTCGTACCCATCTGGGTTAGTCACGGGGACGATGTACCAGTCGAAGTTGTTGTACAGGAAGCTTGCCTCGTCAACGACGTCCCGCCTGTGCAGCATCTTCAGTTGAAAAATACATACATCAAATAAATACAAAATAATAAAGAGTAATATGAAATTTAAACAAAAGATTCACATGTATATCAGAGTTGTCAGTTTTGGAATGGATATATCCTGTACTGTGAGTAGACATTGTTATCAGTGGAAAGATCACATGTCGTGCATAGACCAGGGACCTGTCAGAGCTGTGTACTCACTCACTGAGTCAGTGTGCATGGCAGTACCTACCCTGTCGATGAAATACATGGCTTATGCAGGTGAGACCCACTCCCGGGCGTGTATGCCGGCTTCTATGAAGATTCGCTTCTTGTTGCTGCTGGAACCCCCTGTGATCTGGAGGCAGGCAGTAAGTTTAACGAAAATAGCTGTCTGTCTGTCTATACTCGCAGTTTTGTTTTTCAGTCCAAAGTCCTTTAGGAAATTGTTTGCATTTATGTCAAGAAAACTGTGTTTCAAGTTTGCTTATTTGCTTCAATTATCGCCACTTGTCGACCACTTTACTCAATTGACCAATCAGAAAGTCCAAAAGCGACACAGTGCCCGTCATTATCTCCGGAAGTTTGAAACATGTCGCGGTTTTAACAAAGTGGTACATATTTAACCCTGAAAGTTAAAAATATATAATATAATACCCCCAACTGTTTCGGTGGGGTTCTGGCTATACGATAATGATAACAGTCGACACTATAATCTACACTGCACGTTCATTCACCCGAGGTACAAACAGAATTCACCCTCTTCAAACTATATCTAACTGTAAACCACTGTGACGAAGTTCCAGTTTTCATAAAGGCGACGGAAATGTTTTGTTTGTTGTTACACAAACTGTAGCGCAAATAGGGCTGCGCAACAGAGAGAAGATTACCAGTCTGTCTATATGCGGGCGAAGGCTGGCAACGAACTTCCCTCGCTTCGGTTCGAAAAATATTTTTAACATCAAAATAACATATCACCACCCTCAAAGGTAGACACCTATTTCAAAACAGGATTGTGCTCTCAGATTTCCAACCTGATAATTAGTAATTACTCACGTACAATATATTTAATTCAATATTTTAAGCTCCACTCGCGTGGCATGTCAAATCGTCAATTCGCCTCCATTACCCCTGCCGGCTTCCGGATCAACGGAGTGAAGGAATAAGAATAGGAGAAATAAAAAAGAAATATCAAACTGCTTAATTTCACCATCAAACTGTTGGAGATTACTTTTCTTATCTGCCGTCGTTATTGTTAGAATCTTCGTAACATTTATTCTGCAAAAAACACTTTGGGCGTAGTGGGTGAAAGAAGCAAGGGAGGTAACTCCGCAAGTATTCCATATGGCGGACATGCGATTCAACAAGTTTAGTTAGATTTAATTCCCCTGAACCGGAAGCTGACAGGGGTAATAGAGGCGAAGAACGATTTGTTATACCACGAGTGGCGCTTAAAATGTTGAATTAAATATATTGTACGTGAGTAATTACTAAATATGAGTTTGAAATCAGAGCACAAACTTGTCGAGGAAATGAGTGTCTACCTTTGATGTTAAAAATATTTTTCCAACCGAAGCGAGGGAAGTACGTTGCCAACCTTCGCTTGCTTTGCTCGCTTAAAGGAAGGCTGATCATTTTCTCTTTAGTGCGCAACCCTATTTGCGCTACAGTTTGACTATGGTTGTTCAACGCCAGGCACATGATTATTCCAGCTATATGGAGGCGGTCTCTAAATAATCGAGTCTGGACCAGACAATTCAGTGATCAACATCATGAGCATCAATATACGCAGTTGGGATACGATGACATGTGTCAATCAAGTCAGCGAGCCTGACCACCCGATCCCGTTAGCCTCCTCTTACGACAAGCATGGGTTGCTGAAGACCAGTTCTAGTCCGGAGAGCCATTGCGATACTTAATTCACACTGACAAAATACGAGTTCCGATTTTGAATTCAGGATCGTTGTAACCAACAATTACAGAATGACAAGGGTAGGAATATCCGTCTAATACTGGCACTTTCCAGTTACCTCAATATAAGGCGTGTTTCTTCCTTCGTAGGTATTCTGTGCGAAGTACCCTTTCGTGACACCACTGAATGCCGCAGAGTTATTCACGAAGGAATCAAGCTGAAGTATAGATAAAACATTATTCTTTCTCTCCGTCTCTCTGTCTCGCTCCGTCTCTCTCTCTCCCTGTCGCCCCCTCTCTCTCTGTCACTCTCCCTTACTGACCCCATGAACATCAATAACTGACACCATGAACATTGATAACTAATACCATAAACATCAATAACTAACACCATGAACATTGATAACTGACACCACGAACATTGACAACTGACACCATGAATATTGATAACTAACACCATGAACATTGATAACTGACATCATGAACATTGATAACTGCGGAACTGATCAATTTCCAAAACGCTTTCGTATTCCTCGTAGCAGACGAGCGTGACGGGGCGCGGTAGGGGTTCTGCAAACTGAAGTTCAAGTCCCAACTTGCCCGTCTGTCGTGGGTAGTTATACCCTTCATCTGCGCCCAGATCCGCCGTCAGATCCACCACCCACACGGTGAAGCCGTTCCTGAATTCGTCCAGGGTGAGGTTGCAGGGATGTTCTTGCCACAGGTGTCCCGTGTTGCGGAACAGGTTCATGTACAACTGTTTGAGCGAGGCACTGTTGTTCTGAAAGTCACTTTTGATTTCAGTGCCATGCACTTCTTGCCTATTGAGTTTCAACTTGAGGCTGGTCACACTGTTGTGTTTGAAATGGTGCGAGTTCTTTTCCTTGCTACCAGCAAAAGCATCATGGTCCACCAATCCCAACACCACCCGTTTGGGCAGTTGGCCTCCAATCAGTTGATCTTTGTGGAAATCGCGTCCTCCTCCTGGAATGTTGTGGGCTGTGACTCGGGTCAAAGGATATTTGGCCGTGACTCCTGGTGACATGCGTTTCACGTGTTGTTCCCGTATGGCAGGATCAATGTTGACTTGGCGCACGTAAAACTCTGCTTTGGTCAGTTCAAATCGGCACTCGACGTCTGCAGCACTCATCAAGTAGAAATCACTCGGGCTGCGAATCAGTTCTAGTTTCATGGGGACTCCATCCACCAGGTACTGGTCTTAGAGAAACAGGTCACAGTGGAGACGTCCTGTCAGTTCCACGTCTCGGGTGGGTAGAATGACCCCTCGTCGTGCGACAAGTCCTGCATTTGCATTCAGGGTGACAGCATTAAAGTGATCCATTTTTCCAGCTTCATCGGTGTACCGTCCTGGACACTGGAGATGGGTCCCTTTGGCTGCCTTCCCATAACTCAGCAACGTTTCCAAATAGGCTCGGTAGGGATAGGTACCCTTGGAAGGAGTAATTTCCAGCTGATTGTGTCCCACTTGCACACGCACTTTACGAAAGAGGGAATGCATCATGTTGTTCACCGTGGACACGACGAGTGCCTCATCGTCATCATGAACTGCATTCGTACCATCTGTTTTCTTGATTTTGAGGCAGATGCGGAGGTAACACTGGCTCAAATCGATGTAGGCATTGACAGGGTTAGCAATGTTAAATTAGAGGGGACCCGCGACCGAAGGGGTGCCAGAGGGCTGTATCGAATCCACTGACCTTCTTGGACGGAAGTCACCACAGGGGGCACAGAAAAGAGATCCAGTTGGGCCTTGGAACATTCACAGGCATCCCGACGCATCATCTTGACAGCTGATCTGGACAACAGGTCTTGACCGTACGGTGTCTGGTGTTGAACTGAACTCCATTCCCATCCGGGGTGTGTCTTTATCTCTTTCTCTCAAAACAATGCTTTACGTTTCTTGGTGAATCTCACGGGCTGTTTCCGTTTTTCGTTTGTGGGTGGGTGATCCTGGCGATGGGTGCTGTCGCAAGGTGGCAAGTAAGGCTTGTTTCCCATGATGTTTCAAACTGTCCCCCACACTTCGGTGTCCTGAACTGATATCTTGCACCAATCCCAGCAACATCTTGACGCCTGTTTTGAGAGCTGATTTTCCCTCCGTCTTGAGGATGGAGAGAGCTGAACGTCCCAAGTTTCCCAAGATGTTGCCGAGGCCTCGCCCTCGTTGATGAATGCGTCCTCGGTACACGGTTAAGCTGCCTCCTCGCTGCTGTCCACCCAAACCGCTGCTGCCGTGGTGTCTGATACACTGGTGTCCTACCATGCTGATTCTCAGTACGTACCCAGACGACGGGGACGGAAATGAAGTGTCACGATGGTCTTCCCACTCTGGAATGGCACGAGACGTCCTACGTCATCCATTAAATAGATTTGAATGGCATTTGTGGTTCCTTGACGCAATCCCATGTACCGTAGGTGCTGAGGGGTTTTCATCACGACGCTGTCTTCCATCATCTTGCGGGACACGGGGACATACATCAGTAAGGGAGCCATGGTATCCCCAACGATTTGATCTTCCACCGCATCCGAGTAGACGTACACGGTATCAAAACCAGCCAGATGGTGTGCTTCCTGTTCACCCACGACACGAGGACGGTCAAACACTCCCACCTGGACAGGCTGAGCAGAGACCTGGCTTATTTCTTGTGCTTCGTCCACCATGGGGAGCTGTATGAATCCCAGCATATGTACTAAAGGAGCAGGCAACACCAATCGGGTGGTGTAGGTGGACCTGGTGAGATCGTGGTCAGGTTGGGTTGCGGTTCTGCAGGAGGAACCCGTAATTGCTCTGCACATGTTTTCGGGTGGGAGCATAAAAGTTGACATGCGTTTTCCACGCATTTCAAATCGGAGGTCTTCTTTGGGGTAGTTCACGGTGACGGTGAAACGTCCTCTAGCATCCTGCTGGTAAACATCAGCTGTATGCTTTTCCAACAGCCGTGCACAGGTGTGTTGAAGCAGGATGTTCAGTCTCTGGACGAGTTGGTGACAGGAATACAATCCTTCTGGAATAATGACCTTTTCGCTGACTGCTCTGATGATGCCTGGGTTCTCTTCTGTCATGGTTGCATCGAGTGCTGCTGAACTGTAAATCCGGGTCATGCGTTCCAAGTTCACATGAAGGACAAACCAGTTGAAGGGGAACGACACATTGTACCATGTCATGGGAAAATGAAGTTCACTGACACCGACTTCCCACTCCTGGCGATTCACTTGAATGGGAAAGGGTAGTTTGACTTCGTAAAGATTCACTCTGTTGTTGGGATGAACATACATGGAAGCATCGCTGGGTAAGGTCACGTAAAAGTCCCGCTTGGAAAACAAAGACACTGACATCTTTCTCTAGCTCTTATGGAACCAGGCTGGATACAGAGGAGGTTGGAGAGGCGGCAACGTGGATGATAATGATGATGGCACCAACGTGGGTTGTGGGAGCAAGTACCCCAAGCAACAGGCCAACAAGGCAGTCCACAACTGTTTCTCACCGCGGTCCAATGCCAACTGAACCATGCTCATGACGACCACGCCATATATCAGAAACACTTGGGAGAAAAACACCACTTCACTTCGTGGCAAGTCCATGCCAAAGCAACACCAGCATGGGGATGGCTTGCCGCCCTCCTTGCACCTTGAGATCGGTTCACTCTGCATGATAGGGGATGCTCCACTGACGGTTGGAGACTGGAGGCCACGCTATTTAAAGACCAGATGAGCAGCAGGGATCCATGAATCAAAGCTGGCAGGGTATCCTGACCATCTCACCAACACTTCATCCTTTTTTTGATGACGTCGTCCTTTCAGGACCTGATCCACTTTGTACACGTCATCCGTTTTCTGAATGGGTTGCAGTTCTTCCGGGTAAAAGGTGCCTTGCAGCACTTCTCCATGATCATCTTTCACTCGGTAGACAGGAGTAACACGGCCTTTCATGACTCGATCCGCGGTGAACAGTTCGGTGGTCCAGTTGGGAAGTTACCCTTTGTCTTGTTCAAACGGACACGGGTCCCGGGTAACAAGAGAGGGTGCTTCTTCTTTGTCTTGAGTTGGCGCTGCTTCTGCTTCTTCTTCTTCTTCTTCTTCTTCAGGCGTTCCATGTGATCCAACACCCGAATTTCATCGTAGGGAGCGTTAGGATGTACATCCACGGGGCGTTGTCCAATCGTACGATGGACGCGATGATTGTAGGAATGCAGCAGTTAGGGTAATGTTAGGTAGTGGCGTGTTCCCTGTTGGGTGAAATAACGCCACATACGGTTTTTCAACGTCCTTTGAAAACGTTCCACCACAAAGGCTTTGTTTTTTGGGTTTTGACTGGTGTAGAAATGAATGCCACGTTTCTTGAGGAAGGCTTGAAAAGGTTTATTCACAAATTCAGTCCCTTTGTCAGTCTGTAACTGGGATGGCACACGTCCTTTGGCTTGTTTCAGGATCCGTTGAAAGGCCTCTATCAAAGTGGTACCGGTCTTTGCTTTCATGGGTTGACCCCAGCCATTTTGGAGAAAACATCAATGACACACAGCAAATATCGGTAGCCTTGGTTCTCTTTCTGATACGCAAGGAGATCGCTCAGATCGGCTTGCCACAATTCATCCACGCCACTCACACGGTAATGATCCCTGGAACAACGGTTAAGTCTTCAGGTTGTTGACGCTGCAGCCAAGCTGGGTTGAACTTCAGCTTATAGCGATAGCTGTCGGTCCGAAACTTCTTGGTTGTTATTTGGGAATGTCGGCTCCAACTGGTAGGGCACAGGCATCTCTTCAAGTTCATCTTCTTCTTCTTCTTTTTCTCCTTCCATTGGTGGTGACTGCATGATGAGAACTGTCAAGACCCACGCTAAGCCTAGTTTATATAGACGTCACCCTATGACGTCACCATATTCTGTCCTAAGAGTGGTGTGAGATCATTTGGTGGAAAACACTATGGTGTCCCACTAGGTTTCATCATAAAAGGGTGGTGCGAGGCCATTTTGTTTTTTGGATGAATGGCGTCACAGGTTTTTTCCCTTGGGTTTGGCCATGGGTTTTGCCCATGACGTCACACACCCTATGACGTCATCCACTTCAGTTATAAAAACTCAGGTTTTCCAGCTCTCCACATCAGTTGCTGACTGAAACTATGTCCAAAGAAGACCAACGGCAGTAACAAGCACGATAACAACACCTGCTACAACTGTGGAAAAAACGAAGGCCATCTCAGTTACGCCTGCCCATACCCCTGCCGGTA